CGTGTACTCAGACCAGTAATATTTGGGGTCACAAGTTTTTGCCATGGATATTTTGTGGGTCAGAAGATAAAAAGTTTGCACTGGTCTAAAATACATTTAACCATGAAATGTTTAAAATGTTTATAAGATGTTCAGCTTTTAAACATTTGTACTTAGAATGTAGAATTTCTTTCATTTTATTTATCTTGATGTTTAAGTTCAAATTTCAGGTCATAGAWTCACTTTAAAATTACTTTTCAGTAGGTTATATGTCTACGATTCTGGTTCAAATATAGAACTTTATTTTTTGCTAGATTGTTAACAAATTATTTGTGAGTTAATATTGCCTTAATGGACAATGATTTTTTTAAAAAGTGAACAATTAAAACATCAATGTTAAATGTGATGTGTTTGCAAATTTGGGTGCACCTTAGGGCTGCACAATACATCGAAAATTTATCGTCATTGCAATAATAGACTGTGTAATYTGCATATCGCAACAACTGCATAAACTGCAATAAATGGTTGACTCAAAAGTTTGCATCTATGCATTTTGTCATTCAGATGGAAGTTTGAAGAATTTTACCAGTCGAATGAAGCCTTTTATGTATTTGGTCAACTGGATGGATTTAAAAAGAAAATTCAGGCAGGAATGGAAATGATAAATTTTTTTAGGTTGTTTTCTTGGCTTTGAATGCAAAGCAGAAAGACATCAACACTACATGCTTATGTATTTGTTAATTTATCGCAAATCATATCATCATCGCAATATTAAACACTGTTATCGCACATCGCAGGTTTTCCTAATATTGTGCAGCCCTAGTGCACCTGACTTACGTACTGGTGCACCTAAGGAAAAATGTTAGGCGCACCGGTGCAACCAGTACAAAAAGTTAGTCTAGAGCCCTGAGTTCAGTGGCAAAATTAATAAAAACGTGCATTAATCCAASTGTCTTGAATACAAAGATGTTTTCTTTGACTTTATGTATTTAAAATGATCTGCATGTCACAGGCATTTTAATCACATCATCATCATCATTATTATTATTATTATTATTGTTGTTGTTATTGTTATTATTATTATTTAAAATAGATTCAGAAATACTAACTAGTTAGATGAATTCAAGCAMTTCTAAAAACTTTGAATTTTCTGTCTATGTTGGGTTTCTCCAGGAAGAAAGTTTTCTGCCGTCACACCGAGGGCGGGACTTCCTGTAGCCAAAGATGACAGCAGTAACACGGCTATTCTGATTGGCTGCCTGGTGGGCATCATCCTGCTGCTGCTGGCTGTGATCGCTGTCATTCTTTGGAGGCAGTACTGGAAAAAGATCCTGGGAAAGGTGGGTCTGGACTTAAGATTTCACTCCAACCAGATGGAAGTTTGTTTTCTGAATCTCAGCTACCTCTTTAAATCAGTTTTTAATGAGTGACAGCAGGCTGGGGGAATAATTGTCATTCTTTTGGCTGTGGACCAACTCATCTCCATCTGGATGTGTTCTGGAAATACTACATTTTCTGCTAATCATTCAAAGATTAGAGTCTGTCTCCGGAGTTTGATCATGCATCTCCTTAATTTCTGCTGCTTGTTTCTGAACGACTCACAGGCCCAGGGCAGCCTGTCCAGTGATGAGCTCCGAGTTCACCTGTCAGTCCCCTCAGACAACGTGGTTATCAACAACACGCACAGCTACTCCAGCCGCTATCAGCGCATACACACGTTCCCGGACGACCGTGAACTTGACCGAGAGGTGGAGGGAGAGTATCAGGAGCCGAGRGCTCTGCTCCGGCCCAGAGATCAGAGGGACAGCACGGGTAAGATGTGCAACTTTTCACTCCAAAACGTTGTTCGTCCTTAAAGTTTAATGTCTGTGTTTTAGCTTAAGTGAAGTGTTATTATTGATGCAGCTCAGTAATCACACTTCAAACTCGCGCAGTCTGTCAGAGCTGAAAGAAACTAAATATTTTGCTGCACACTGTAGCATGAAACAGTTTTCATGGATGTCCTTGAGTCGAGCAGAACACACAGATGGAGTATGATGCACGTCAAAAATTACTCCTCCTTTATATTTATTTATGACCATCACTCTGGCAGCAGCTGGTCACCCTGTTCCTTTTTACAAACACTCCTGAGAGAAAAAAATACACTTTTATTTTCTCAGTTCCTGCTTGAACAACTTTGTTCCAGTAAAAACTTTTCTTTTTTTTTTGTTTTTATTGACTGTTCTTGTCTTGTTTAGCTTTAGTGTCATTTCATAGCAAATGTTAAATAATGGATGAAAAATTAATATTTTTGATGTTGAGAAATTTCCAGAGACAAAAGACCCAAAATCTTGTCAGTAAAAATAATTGCAATGAAGATATTGCTGGTGACTGACTACTTACGAAATGTACTATTCTGGTAAGAACAAAAATTAAAGCTAATATTTTAAAGTTTCAGAGGCTTTAATGGTAATTCTGACTAATTGTCACATTAGGCTTTATTGGATAATTATTTACTTCATCTACATATAATAAGACTGTAAAAAATACTGTTGGCTGTTTGGGATTTATAAATTAAGATATATGTCACACAGGAGTCACCATGTTATTTACAACGCAATGCATTCTGGGTAAATGATGACACTGGCCTGTGCTCCGTTATGAGCTCATTCAGCTTGAAAGTTAATTTTGGACAATGTCTGATGTTCAGCCCTTTTAAATAAAACCATTTCGTGTTGACTGAAGGTTTAGTAGAAATGACTCAGTCTGACACTGAAAAGGATGACGGAGGACAACAGAGTTGCTTCATGAAAAGAGAACCTCACCTTTAGCCTTTTAGCTTTCGCATTAGCTCTGGAGCTAATTTATAATGCGATACACAACATTAACATCTGATCTACCTCTGGAGCTGACTCCATATATTATACATGGTGTTAGCTTCAGAGCTAATTTACTAAGCATCACGTTTGATCATTTTAACCCATAAGGCTATATTGTGAAGAACATAGAAATTAATACAAAATATAACTAACTTGTRACTTATTAAAGCCTTAGCCTTGACTTAACCTATCATCATCCGCAGAATCCATTTCGTCAGTAACAAAACGGCAATGTGCTGAAGTGAAAAACGTAATAAACAGACAAATTTTTTTAGATAATTTTATTTCACGTGTCCCAATCAACTTTTTGTAGAATAAAGAAATGACGTGCAAGCAGTCTGAGGTCTGTTCTATTCAGCTGTGTTACAGTATGTTTTTAGCTTCAATGCATCTTTGACATAAACAGAATAATTACATTATAGAGTGCAACACTGCACACAGGCTCTGGTTTTCAACTAATAAATGCATCGCAAAAGCTTCCCAATAAAAGTCCAGATGGATTTCGTAATCGGCTTTGTTTTTTCTGAGTTTTTGGTGTGGGTCACTCAGTTTTTCTCTGTTAGCAGCAGCAGCTAGCTGGTTTTTTTTTCTTCTCCACCCTCCTCCGTGTGGAAACATAAACAACATGTATACAGTATAGTCTGGCTTCTATCAACATAATTTGTTCCTTAAACTTTACAGAAGCTGAAATATGTCCGAACAGAAGGAGCTGCTTCTTGTTTCAGTTYGCCTCTTTTCCCCTCTGTTGTTCTCACGTCATAAACAGTCTGCACTTTTATGTTTCAGTTCTGCCTTTTTGCTCCTCAGTTTGAAGTTAACTTTAAATTATAGCTGATTTTTAAGTTGTTGCCTAATCATTCCCATCTGCATGGATCAAAACAAAATATAAATGCTAAATGCCCAACACAATAAGTATGTTGTTTGCAAAGTCAGCATTAAACTAACCTTTCAGACGTACAGTATTCAGATTTCTACACCCAAATTACTTTGTTTGCTTGTTTGTGTTTTTATGAACTCGTTTTGGAGACGAGTGGTTAAAGAAAAAAAAACACAAAACAGAATAAATGCTGCGTGTGTTTCAAGAAAACCATGGCATTACAATATATTCCAGCACGCCATACTAAAGTAAATCAAATCAAACACCCTGCGAGGAAGAAGATGCACAAAGCAGGGTGGACACAAAAGAGCCATTGTTCAGAGGAATGGGAAGGAAAAGAAAGATAGAGGGAGGAGAAAGAGAGGATTAAAGTAGAAAAAGAAAACGCATTCCTTTGCTCTCATTGTTCCACAGGAGGTCTGCATGTTTACTAGACGCCTGTGTGAGTTTATAAATAACACAAYCAAGAAATATTCTGTATGAAGAGTTTGGTTTTTGGTTAACTCGCCTGTCCTTGAGATGCTCCCCTGGTTCTGTTCTCCCTGCTTCACCGCTCCTCCATTCATCCAATCAGAAGGAACACYCTAACACTGTCATGCTAATGCTTTTATTTTGTGTTGTGATTTTTTTTATGATCCATTGTTGTGTCTCCATGTCCCCCATGTTTTGTTTGTCTTTGCCTGTATTTGCCTGTGTGCGTGTATATGTGTGTGTGTGTGTGTGTGTGCTCCACCAGCCTTGCTGTTAAACACTCCAGCCTATCACCTGCTCGTACCAGATCACAGAAAAGGCTCCAGAGTTGTGGTCATCCCGAGCTCCACTCAGGCTCAGGAGAAGAGCCTGAATGTGCCTCAGGGTAAGAGACCTCAGACTGGGTCAGTGCCGGCAGGAGGCAGGAGGAGCCCGTGTCTCGATCAGAGKAGCGAGAACGATTCTTCCTAAAAATAACTAAAGTCTTTCTTTTTTCTCTTCTTGATCTCCATTATCCTTCGTTCCTCACATAATCACTCTTCTCACTACAAATAACCCTGTTTGTGTAAAAGGATGGTTTGGTTTCCAAGGCGTTGAAACATTTCTGTCTTACTCACACTTTGGCAAATGTTTTAATTTTTGTTACATAACCTCAATATGTTGAGCTAAGATGAAATCATGTTTGTCAGCGTCACACGAGTGGGCAGGAAAATATGGAAATGTTGATTTTTTTTTTTCCAATCAAGCCTTATTATTGATGCRAAAGACTGGATATGTTTCATTTTTTGTGTCTACAGTGAAAATAATTTTCAGTTGCTTTTAGAATATAACTCTAATAGAAGTTTAAGGAGAAGTTGACCTTAATGTAACACGTTTACAAAAAAGGTTAGAAGAGAAAAACAAGATCTATTAATATTTAGACATTGACAGAGTTCTCAATTTTTTTTTTGGCTGTAAACAGCACCACAATGGATTTGAAATGAAATAACTAAGAAATGCTTTAACTGCAGACTTTCAGTTTTAATTTYAAGGTATTTACATCCAAACAAGCTAAACAGCCTCCCACTTTTCAAGGGACCAAAAGTAATGGGACAAATGACCGGTCCTTACAGCCTGAAGTCTGGAACACAGAGACGTCACCAGACATTAGGTTTCATCCCTGGTGCASCTGCCCTCTGTTCCTGCTTGTTCTTGGGCCGTTTCCCCTTCAGTTTGATTATCATGACAGTAGGTTATTCTGCTTGAATTAGAGTTATAATTTTAAATGTAATAATTTAGACTAACAATATAAATTGTCCGTCCGTTTTCTGCCGCTTATCCGGGATCGGGTTGCGGGGGCAGCAGCAGAGAGACCCCGTTCTCCCCAGTGACACCCTCCATGTCCTGGGGGACTCCGAGACGTTCCCAGGCCAGAGGGGATACATAATCCCTCCAGTGAGTCCTGGATTTTCTCCAAAGTGCCAGACATATTTTGAAAACATTTTAAAATGCTTATTTCAAACCCGCATCTGAGACCACCTGCGACCGCGCGGGGTGGTATAGTGTGCAGCGCTGRYMCTTCTGAATAAATGAAAATGATTTAACACAGTTGTTTATACTTTTAGCAGCTCTTTTTATTCCACAGCTGAGCTGCTAAAAATGGCAGATTTTCTTTTCTGGATCTCTGACAGACGGACTTCAATCTCTGAACTCGTAAAGTTTTTCTTTTTAATTTTCGCTGTCATTTTCATGAATGGACACTTCCTTGTATCTGAGACAGGAAACATAGCCTTATATGGTGTTTTTGGGGTGGTAATTATGCTAATCTCCTCTCGCGTTCACAAGCAGCTGGATACGAACAGGTGGAATTTAAGCAGCTCATTTAAACACTTTTCCTGAAGATAGTGTTTGTTGAATCTGACGTGGCATGTTCGTACGAACCCTTTGTACGAACAAAAGTAAGAGAAATTTAGGATAAGAATACAAACATGTTCTTGCATGAGGCCCATTGTCCATCTGCACTGTGAAGCTCCGTCCAATGAGTCCTGACACATTTGGCTGAATGTGAGCAGTTAATATTGCCACAAACACTCCAGAATTCATCAGATTAGCCAGATTAGCCAAACAACATCTAAAAAAACAACATCCTCTGCAGAGATGAGACAAAGATCAACTTGTAACAGAGTGATGGAGAAGGAAGGAGCTGCTCAAGATCCAAAACAGCACCTCATCATTGGATGTAAATACCTTCAAATTAAAGCTGAAAGCACATCTTTCGTTTCAAATCCATCTGTGGGGTGTTTACACTCCGTGTAGTTTGTTCTTTGGTTTCCCTTTTTAAAAATAATATAAAAAATTTTAAACCTAAATGTAAAAATGTCAAATCAAACTAATTAAAAATCCACTGTTAGTTTTTTTTGTTTCAGCTCTAAATCCAAAATAAAATATATGTTTGTTTTAATATGTAGCGATACCGGAAATGACAAAAGAAAAAAAAAACAATCTTTATCATTTTAATTTATCCAACTGTTTGGTGAAAAAATGTATATATTTTTTTTAGCTCAAAGAATAAACTTTGTAAATACTTAGTTCTGAACTTAAGGTTATTATGTGTTGATTCATAAAACACGAGAAGTCAGTCAACCATGCTGTAACTTTACAAGTTTTATAATCCTAATTAAAAACCTCAGGTTTTATTTTATATGTGTCTTCTGAGGAAACACATTTTACAATTTTTTTTAGTCGTGAGACAAAATCACGGTTGAAGGCTCTTAGTTTTACAACCAAAGTCTCATAATGTATGCTTAATTAAAAGTTAATTGCTTTACCACGGAGTTATGATTCATTGGCAGTGACTGTGTACATTTAAGGTGGGTTGTTTTAATTAATTAGTATTTCAAAGGTAAAAAACAACATCGTATTCAGTTCCTGCGCTACAAGCCCATGACTCATCTGCTGACAGAACCTCTGGAGAGGCGCTTGTGTCAAATGTAAAATTATTATCTTTAATAAGTGTTTCAATTTTATCAGCAAGTCCAGCTGGATTCTCACATTTAGTTTAATATTAAATGGAGAAGATTGCTGTTACWTGAGCACAGAGAAGTTTATTCCCGAGTGTAATTCAGGCTGCGTAGCTGAACAAAAGCTGTTTTTTTTAAATGCATAAGGCGAGAAATGCAGAAATAAATCTTACTTTAAACACGATTTAAAGGAGAAGTTTTCTTTTCCTCTCAGGAGAAACTGTGAGTTACTAGAAGGCAAATGTATTAAAAACTGTGGACTGATTTGACTTTTAGATACCCAAACCGTCTCGTTTAAAACTAAATGAAACAAAGATAAATGTAGGGAGCAAAGAGGCGGAGGCGGCGATGAAAAAGACATTCACAGATTTGTAATCCTGCTCAGCTCTTTCTAAACGGGGAGGATTCAGACGTGCTGGTGTGTGTTGACATTTCAGCAGGACGGCAGTTTTTCTGCATAATTTCTGCTGCAACTCAGCATCCTGGTGGATGAAGAATCTCAGGAACATCATCTGTTTTTCCATAATAATAAACAACTTTTCACTGAGATAGAGGAGCTGAGTCTGACTAAAAAATAAAAGTCTTGAAACTTGTTTTTAATTTATTTTATTTTTTACGGTTATACTGTAAGTGTATGTATAGACATTATTTTATGAAGTTTTACTTAAATGGAAATCCTTGAAGTCCAAACTATCCTTTATGACACATCTGGTTCTTTCACTTAAAGGGACAATTCAGATGTTTTAAAGTGGGGTTCTGTGGGCAATTTATGAACAATTCACATCTTGCTGCAGATCGTCCAGAGTTTTGAGAAATAGGTTTTATTTCTCACTGGTTTGATGAGCTAACTGCTCTTCGAAGTCTAACAACAACTCTAATCCCCAATTTTATGGAACAGTGATTTTCTATTTAACATTTGCTGAGGTTCATCCTTAAATATTTGTCCAGCAAAGGTCCAAAATATATGCTGGTGAAGATCTAAGAGAGGTTGATAAACAATAAATATCTTACGTTTTTAGCTCTTTAAATTACATCAGTTTGGGGTGGGGGGGGGGACTATTTAGCTTTGAAGGATATATATTATGCAGAGCTGCTTTTTCCACATTTGTAAGTTCATTTTAGGTTGTACAGCTTTTCTAGTATTTACAGAAAGTAGTTCTATATCAGGATCACAACTTCCCTTAGCTGTCCATGAAAAGGTACTGGCCTGACAAACATGCTGAGAGGAGAAAATTAGCAGTGATATTACTAAAAGATCCTTTAGATATTCTGTACAACACAAAAAGTATTAAAAAAACTTTCTCAATATAAAACATGAGAAGAAACATCTTCAACTTCAGAATAAAAGTCCAGTTTATTTTGGCGGGGGGTTGGGGGGGTTGTATTGTACAGAATATAATGTATCTAAATTGTGTTTTGATTACAGCAATGCTAATTTTCCTCCTCTCAGCATGTTTTTCAGGCTCCTACCTCTTCATGGACTGCTGAGGGAAGTTGTGATCCTGATAAAGAAATTACTGTAAATTAGGGATGTAAGAAAATATCGATACACTGAAATATCGCGATATTTCATTTCCCGAAACTGATCGATATTCTAAAGCTCTGTATAGATTTTTTATTAAGGTTTAAAATGTTAGCTTTCCTGTCAGCTGTTCATTTTTATGTTGTAGTTCAGCCTCTGACCACTAGTTGGCAGCAGTGAGCCAGCCATTTGGCTCCTCTACCTCTTGAGGTGTTTGGTGACCATATTGTAAATTAATATTAAAAACTAAAAGCTGCAAAAAATATATTTTCAACCTATTTATTGGCAAATTTAGTCTAATAATTGAAAACATGGATGAAATAAGAAATATGAAACAAATAAAATAAAAAACATACAAAGCAGAACACAGCTAAATGTATCAAAAGTATGTCTATGTAATATTAGAATTTTCTGAGACAATGAAGTTTGGTTTTTCATTTTTTTCCCCTGTAAGAGGTTTTTATTTAACAGAGTTTTTGGACCAAAAAAAATCACAATATATCGCCTTGCTTACAGTATCGCAATATATCGGGATATATCGTATCGTGACCCTTCTGTCATGATATGTATCGTATCGCCAAATTCTTGCCAATACACAGCCCTACTGTAAATACTAGAAAATCTGCACAACCTAAAATTAACTGCCTATCCTTCAAACTAAACTTTTTTTTTCCAAACTGAGGTCATCTAAAGAGCTAAACATGTGAGATATTTATTGTTCATCAACATTTCACAGACCCTGTTTAAAAAAATCTGAGCTGTCACTTCAATCTGTTTTAAAACCACAGAAATCTGATTTTAATCACTCAGTTCTTTAATTATCTTATTTTAATCCCCCATCTCTTTCTGTCTCCAGCTTGTGGTCTCGACTTGGACTTGGAGAAAGGCTTCCCCTCAACACAAGAGGAGCCCCCTCCCTATCCGGGGTCTCCACCTTATCCTTCTTTGTCTCCGCCCGTCTCCCCCCCTCTGCCTCCCAGCGTCCCCCACTACGCAGAGGCCGACATRGTGAGTCTTCAAGGCGTGAGCGGGAACAACACCTACGCAGTGCCGGCCTTGGCCTCCTCCAGCCCCGGCGCCGACGCCACCCCGCTGCCGGAGCTGCAGCGCCAGTGTCTCATCTTCAAGGAGAAGCTGGGGGAGGGACAGTTTGGGGAGGTGAGAACTGATCGATATGACATGTGGGTGAAACTCTGAGCATCCTTCATCAGTATCTGCTTAACTTTTGGTCAAAGGTGCACCTGTGTGAAATCGAAAACCCTCAAGACCTTCCAAACTTGGAGTTTCCCTTTAACGTGAGGAAAGGTCGCCCTCTGCTGGTGGCGGTGAAGATACTGCGCCCAGACGCCTCGAAGAACGCCAGGTTAGTAACATCAGGCACAGCTTCAGCTRCCTTCAATCTTTCTCATATGTTCAGCAGTCTAAATCGGAGACATCTTACACAACTTATAATAAATAAACAATTAGTTCAGTTCTGCTAAAATCCTGCTGGATATTTCAGAAACGCGTGCAGTTTAACTGCTTTTTAATTCTTCACTGTAGTAAGAGTTTCAAGGGGGATTTGGTTCAGTAAAATCCTTTTATAAGATTATATTTTTGTTTGTTAAAATTAATCAGATTTTATAGGTGCAGTATGTAGTGGAGCTGAGATAGATGTCCTTCAGCAGCAGAGAAATAACAGTTATAGTCCATGAAATAAGTTTTATTTCAGTTTTTTTTTTTTTTTTCAGAGCAATGTCAGTTGCTGCATGAACTTAAAAAATAGATCCCGTTTTGTTTTCTTGTTGTACAGTGTAACCTGTTTATTGTAAATCTACCTTTCCATGCAGAGCTTCTCACACACAGATGWATAAAATGGTGGCATTTAGCATCTTGTTTCAGAACACTTGAGCGTGTGAAAGTTTTAAAGCTGCAATCAAGCCACAAAACCTCTGACTGAGCTGCCTGCAGGTCGAAGCAAAGAGCCGAGCAAAAACACTCATCAGCAGCTAGGTTTTATCAGAAACTTGGTTTTTTTTGCTCACTCACAATAATAATCGTAATTTGTAGCTCTTAAAATCCACATGAGGTGAATCACAGGGGCAGTGTGTTGTAAAAATGAAGTCATGCAATTAAAATTCATAAAAAAAGAGAGAAATGACAGATAAAATGAAACCCTATGACGGAGTCTTGACAGATTTTTGCACAATCTCTTACATCAGGGTCTTTAAGGGGGAGTGGTGGCGCAGCGGTTAGGGAAAGTCGCCGGTTCAACTCCCCAGCAAGGCCCTCCAGTGGTGGAGTATGTGGTGTGAACGACTCTCAGCTACTACCATAACAAATTTGAGCTTAATTTCTGTAAAATAAAGAGGTAAACACTTTTCTGTGTGGGCTAAGTTTAGTTAATTGTGGTGGCCATCTTGAATGGGTTGATCCTAAAGGTAATRTTCGTAGATGTACACCTAATGGTTACTTTTTAAGAGTTTTAATGAAATCTTTCAAGTGGTTCTGAAGTTATTTTTCTAACGCTACAAAGAAACAACCACTGATCTGTTTTTGATGATCAATAAAGGCTTAATGAAAGTTGATGAGTCAGTTGTTCTGATTTCTGCAGGCAGTTTTTTTATTTTTTATTATTTTTTAAGCCTCGGGGCCATGATGACTGCAACGCGTCAACCTATTTTACTTCTCCGGCAGAAGATTTCTGAAAGTCTTAAAGTAAAAACCGCCTACGCTTGAATAAACAGATAGGAGGTGTACTTTGGGGAGACAGAAGGAGTGACGTAATCGGGTCTCTTCACTCTCCAATTTGAGCAAATAAAATCATAAAATAGTTGTGTGTTTGTTTTTTATTCACTCAGGAACGACTTCCTGAAAGAGGTGAAGATCTTGTCTCGCCTGAAGGACCCGAACATCATCCGCCTGCTGGGCGTGTGTGTGAGCAGCGACCCCCTCTGCATGGTCACTGAGTACATGGAGTGTGGAGACTTGAACCAGTACCTGTCCCATCGAGTCCTGCTGGACAAAACGGGGCCTTCACACAACACCCCCACCATCAGGTAAATGCTGTTCACTCAAATTGCAGGTAAACAAACGACAGGGACGTGTTTTTGATGACCCGCCTGTCGCGTTGTCTCCAGTTACCCRGCCCTCATCTCCATGGCGAGCCAGATCGCTTCAGGGATGAAGTTCCTGTCMTCGCTCAACTTCGTGCACCGGGACCTGGCCACCCGTAACTGTCTGGTTGGGGGGGAGAGGGGGGAGGACGGCGAGGAGCGAGGCGGCGAGCGCCACATAAAGATAGCGGACTTRGGGATGAGCAGGAACCTGTACGCCGGAGACTACTACAGGATCCAGGGCAGAGCCGTGCTGCCCATACGATGGATGGCCTGGGAGTGTATACTCATGGTGTGTTTATTCTGCACTTCTATTTTTTAAGCTGAGGGCTTTACTGGTGTCACTAATGATAAAATAAAATGAAAACAAAAAGCAGACTAATGCACCTAAAACTGATTTAATGCYTCAACTTTCACCTCTTGTGATAATGATGCTTCTTATCACATTTATACAGCTTGTGATGATGATGATGATGATGATGATGGTGTGTGTTCTCTCAGGGTAAGTTCACCACAGCCAGCGACGTGTGGGCGTTCGGGGTCACCCTGTGGGAGATGCTGAGCGTTTGTCAGGAGCAGCCGTACTCCAACCTCACAGACGAACAAGTCATCGACAACGCCGGCGAGTTCTTCAGAGACCAGGGCAGACAGGTGGGTCACGCAGAACACACAGGAATAGTGTCACGATCACACTCTCTGTGTGTGTTGTTATTGTTGGTTTAGTTTAAACATAGAGTCACCAGTTGTCCTTGTGTTTGTGCCGCAGGTGTATCTGAGCCGGCCGGCCGTGTGTCCTCAGGGTCTCTACGAGCTCATGCTGAGCTGCTGGAACAGAGACTGCAAGCTCCGCCCATCCTTCGCCTACATCCACTCCTTCCTCACCGAGGACGCCATGAACATGGTTTAAAGTCGGAGACAGAGAAACGAGGAGGAGGAGGGGGAGCTTGTTTTTGCTGGTGGACCCCCCAGTACAGCGGGATGGTGTGATGGAGGGTCTCACAGGGAGACGGGGGAGGCTCATTTTTATATTGTGTACTTTTTTGGGTGGATGGGGGGGGGACGCTGAGACACCGCTGGTTCGGTTTTGCTTCAGATCCCAAAGGCTTTTGATGGATAAAAGTCTAAATTTCTTATAGTTGGTGGTGGGTTTTCTCTTGTTTCAGACACTTTACAGTCAAATGAAACATCTTAAAGCAGGTGAGCAGGTGGCTGCAAATCAAACTGAACTCTGAATACCTGTCGTTCAGGTGAAGTAACAAACAAGGATTAGATTATTTCTAGTTAGTCCCACCTTCTGACCACATCTGCTCGTTTCCTCTCGGCTCTAACTTCCTGCTTTTTGACGCACGGCCACAGGTTCTATGTCCATGGATCAGACGACAGACGCAGCTTCCATCTCTAAACTGTTTGAAACAAAAAGCTGCACACCTGCTGCCAAACAAACTCCCAAAGCTTTAGGAGAGAGGCGCAGAGCGAGTCCGCAGCCAGCAGTGGACGGGACTTCTTTATATGATATGACTATATTTTTAATTCCTTTATCTGATTCTGTCAGAATGAATAATTTTTAAAATTCCACAACCAGCTGCACTTTACCCAACATGCATTTCCTTTCCTGTGATCCAACTCTTCTCCATCCTGGGCCTGAACGATAATTCCTGTGATGTATCAACATGCAAAGACTTTATTATTTTTATTATTGATATTCTGCTGAGGAATATCACTAAGCACAGGCCTAAATCTACAACCCCTCTCTACAAGTGTTGCCAAACCATTAGATGTAAAATAGTGTTTGATAATAAAAACTGGAATGGCATTCTGATTTTATTTCTAATGTTCTGTATAAATGAGATGTTACTGACTCAATAAACCTGATGATCCAAATACATCACTGTCATTAACTGCATTAATCAAACGGACAGAGGATTCCTGATTTAATGTGTGAAAGTTGATGTCTGACTGTAGAGTCGACTGTAAACAGCCCTGAGGTGGTCTGGATTGTAATCTGTGACCCATCAAATCAAACTGAGGGTCAAGTCTAATTTAATCAGATTCCTGCCTTTTTAAGCTACATTTTTGTACTGGAGCAGTTCCAGAGATATGCTTTGATTTGTCTTCTAAATCAGGTTAACACATTATTTGTTCTTAATCCTATTTTTCTAATGAGGACTTTTTGCTGTCATTTTAAAGAGGAAACCTCAAACAATATTTGGATATTAGGATTTACCAGCACAAAAGAAAACAGTCTTTGCCAACTCGCAGGGAAAATTAATGTTTTTCTGCTAAAAAAGAAAAGTTTTTTGCAGCTACTGGTCAAAAAAGTTTCAAAAATTGTTTAAGAATATATTTCAGATGTTTCATTTGTATTTTTGTTGCAAAAGTATTAACCAATGCACTAATGATGCCTGTTTCTCCACAGAAACACTTTACTTTGTGGCTTAATCCTTTGTTCAGTGTGATGGTCACATTTAACACCTTAATAAATGTATGTTTGTGTCCTTTGACATATTTTGACACACTGCAGTTCAAATTCAGTGTTTAGAATTATTACATAGAATAAATATAAAATTGCAGTCATAGTAAAAAAATGTTTGACACTGAAGGTTTAATTTATACCTTTTTATTACTTGATTTTAAATGGAAATAAACACCTCAAATAAGGCAGTGGGATGTAGGAGTGTGGAGTTGGACCCCCTTTAATTATTAAGAACCAAACGTGGGCAGCACGGTGGTCTGGTGGTTAGAATTGTTGCCTCACAGTAGGAAGGGTTTGGGTACAAGTCCAGGAGTCTTTGTGTGCAGGTTGCATGTCTGCCTCAGATCTGGGATCTGAATGGGACGATTAAAGAAAGGTCATCCATCTCAGTCATTTTCCACTTGGTCCAGAGTTGGTCTGTCCAGCGTGTCCTCCTTAGGGTCTCCTTCCCAGTCAGACGAGTCTGAAGCACCTCCATAGGGAGACATCCAGGAGGCTTACCTTACTGAACTCACCTGATTATTTAATAAATACATTTCCACAGCTTTGACCTCAGACGACTAAAATTATAACATTAGTCTGATAATAAACTTAAGTATAATAATGTCAGAAGCAATAAGTTTCCTTTGACTGAAGCAGATTTGAAGCTTTTTGAATTCCTGGAGTCAGTGACTAATTTACGACTGATTTTTTTATTTTTTGGCCAATATATTTTTACAACTTACAACTGCCTAAAAAACAAACATTTAACATGATTAGAATGGTAACTTTCACAATCTAAAAAAGCATTTAAATAAATTGTGGGCTAAAGTCAACATAATTTGTTACAGGGCGTCCAGTGAAGACTGTCTCTCAGTTTATTATTCTTTACAGTAGAAAGAAAACTAAATGGTTTTGAATACTCCTTCAGGCTCATCATCAATGTCTTTCTTTCCTGACGTGTTCAAACATGAATGATTCAAACCACAAAAACAATCTGAACATTTGTTTATTTAAATGCAGTTTAATTTAGTTTATTGTGGTAATAAAGGTGCAGTTAGTTTTTCACACTGCTTCTGCATTGTCGAATAGATTATCCTGTTGGCTTACGTCATTTTAAAATCTGATTTAAGGATGAATGAAATGTAATTTTTTTACTCCGACCTGCTTTCTTCAGTTTGTCTCTGAATCATGTACATTAAACCATCATTTGCTTTTGTAATATACAGAAAACTCAGCAGAACTCTTGCTAACTTTAGAGCTCACTCATTATTTTTGTAGATATGTTAATAAACTGACTTCTTTTGAAATGAGTCGTATTGCTCATGTGTTACACAGGAAAGACTAACAGGTTGGATTTGGTGAATAAAACATTTTATTAAGTTTACTACATTTACATTTATTCAGCACGAGCAGTTTCACACTATGAGTCATGCAACAAACATTTTCAAACCTTTGTCACGAGCATAACAAAAAGGAGTCYAGATAAGCTTGGCTTTTATCTGCGGCCATCGACGGCGCCGGCCGGTGGCTCGTGATGAGCTGAGGAAATGATTCCCTGACAGGAGTTTTAACAGGCTGAGGGGCAAAGGTCAGGAAAACGGAGAGGTTTGACCAGGCACTTGGCGGTTRAACTGCATAAGGCTCAAAGCTTTGGACCGTTAGTTTAGCATTTAACTAGATGCACTTGTTTTTAGTCGTACATTCAAGAACTACACATGCAGAAATACAAAAGCTAACATTTACTAAATAAAACGTTACAGAACTTTAAGATAACATCTCACTACAACACAGCTTCGATTTCTTTTTAAAGGCACATAAAAAAGACTTTATAATAAAAAGGAAATTGGTATATTAGTATCTCCAGAGAGGATGATGAGAATGATCACGATGGTGTAAACAGGTGCATAAWGGGAAACCAGGAATAAACAGCAGGTCTTTGTTCAGTCTGAGTTAGTGTGTTTTGGTTCCAACAGATAAAAACAGTTTGCTGTCAGTAAGTGACGCTGCAGTAAAGACACAAACCACATGTTGGAGGGAGAAAAATTCTTAAACTGAATATACAGGAAAACAAGTGAAACATGCACAGACTATAATGGTGCAGATTCAACACAGGAATAATGAGAAGAATCTGATTCAAGTTCCTCTGACGATGCTCCTCTTAATGTACACGGGTGGTCTTTCCAGCAGCCTGAGAGAAACACAGAATAATCAGGACCCCCGGGTTGTTCAATCAACCACTTATTGTTTGAGCGTACCTGTGAGATGTCGACTCCGGTCAGTTTTTCCACGGCAGACGGCAGTCGGGTCATGATGTCGAGCACCTCTCCGGCYAGTTTGGCTGCTCCAACCTCTGAGCCCCCGCTTGACACCATGGTGATCTTTTGGGCCTCCGACATCGGCTTGCTGATCTCCTCGGCCATCTGCACAGAAAAAAATATAAAAAAAAATTGGTCAAAAGATACTCCTGTGTAATAATAAGAC